TTGTACTGGAGCTTCTTCTTGTGTCATATCATCAATCACATCATGATTAATCTTTTGCCTCAACATCCATCACTGGAGATTTTTACAAGTCAATTCAAGACATGTACGCTTAGATACAAGACAAGATCATATGCAAAAAAAATTATTGTACAGAGAATCCTCCTTTTGTTTGTTCTTTGTTTCTATCAATCGACCAATTAGCCATCAGTTCATTATGTCGGCATCCTTATTCAAGAAATTTGATCACCAAGGACCGGACGGCAAGATGTCATACTTTTTAATCATGCATTTTTTTTTATAAAATCCAAGTAATTAAGAAAGTGGAATCCCAAGCTTGGATCAATTAGCTCGAAAGCGACGGGCATCATGAGTTCGTAATTTGTAGCCATGTCTAAGAAAGCAAAATTATCCCGATGTGGTTCTTCTAGGACTTCATCTATGTGCCCGAAATAACCCCAGATCGTATAGGAAGATCACTGACGGTGGACAACAAGGTTGTGGATGGGATACCATCAAGTGAAATGAAATCTGTCGAGTCCCATCAAGTGTTTTGAATTTCCTCGGAGTCCCATCAAGTATTTTTTCTGTTGGACCAAATAATGTTTCGACATGTTGTCATAGATCCTACTCTTTCTCACTCCTTCATCCATGCATCCCTATCAGCAACGACACATTGTTCCTCCAGAGATCGTATTGGCCTAATCACAATCTTCACAATCATAGAGTCATTTACATTTGACTACTCGAGTTTGGAAGCAGTTATACAAATCGTAGATTAAATAGAAATAGTTCCTCAAGCTTGTTTTAATACTATCTTAGCATTTTTTTAAGATTTCCAAACAAGCTAAAGCAAGCCAAAGCTCCACATGAAATAAACATCATTCAACGGCACGCCTCGAAAAACTCTAGCATTTTTCTCATCGGCCAACTCAATCACAGCTTTTCACAATCTAACTGAGTCTGTAATATGCTCCAATGACTTTCTCAAATTCCTACTCTTCGCAATATCATCATGTTTTAATTTGGCAACTTGCATCTAGAGCTTGACAAAACTGGGTATTGCATTTACACCTAAACTCAAAAGGGACTTTGCATTGTTGGGAGTAGCTAGCTTACAACTTTCCAATCAAACTTTTTTATTCTTATGACATTACTCGCAACCCCTTTGAATAAAATCTCAAGCAATTTCAATGTTCCCACAACCTCTTCCAACCTTGCCGCTGCAATCCATTTAGAAGCATATTTAAATTCAGTCTAAATTACAGATTTCAAAAGCAATCAAGTTTTCTTGATGTCAAATATCTTTGCATCGCTCGTAATTTTTATACTCTTCAAATCAATTAGACAATCTTTGGAATCAACAACAGATAATCCACTCATAGACTTCGAAAACCGGTCAAGTTTCAAAGACAACATAGTGACTCTACCTTCTTCAATTGCGGTGAGATCATTAATAGAAGTTTGCTCCTAAGGAGTCTTTGTTCCATTCGCTGCTTTGCTCTAGAGTCTAGAACATTGGCATGCTTCTGCTCTTGTTTGGCTCTCTCCAATAAGATGTCGGAACAGGGATGAAAATCTCATACCTCTTTTTCTTATTCCGCATGGAATAATGATCCATTTTGAAGATACTTTTTCACTCTTGGATGGACAAGGTTATCAACTTCCTCTTCAAATCCGCAAAGTACTCTAAAAATTTTTGGATTCAAAGCCTTGTATTTATCTATCTTCTATTTCAAACGAGCTTCGTGTCCATCGTTTCTCCGAGTGTTTATATGCTTGTTGATATTCTTTCAAATCATGTAAGCTTCCTTATCATCCTCATTATACTCCCCAATTGCAAGCAACCCCTTATCATTCTCTTCACACTCGTTAAATTTTTGGCTCTTATCATATAACTTCTCCTCTGCTTCCTCCTTCATTCAACTCCTCTGAGCTACAAATTGTTTAAGCAGCACTGTCCGAGATCTCGGCCGCGGCGACCATGCATCTCGCGGCTTGGATCACACAACACGCACCAATGTAGCCATGAAAAACTAGTCAACATACCTCTGCGCACTCGACTTCAATCCACCGCTCGCTCCGCTTACGAATTGACAAAATTTGCCCGGTTAGTTGGCCCCTCCGAGATCCGATCCCCGTCGCAAACTTGATCTGATACGAATTGTTGGACAAAATAGGAGAATCAACGAAAAAAAATTACATGGTTCATTCAACCTTGGGCTTTCTCTACATAAAAAACAAGTCTTATGATGGATAGTACCTAGTGGTAAAACTTGAAAGCTTCTAAAATCATTGTGGCTTTGCTTAAACTATTATTTACTTCTTAAACTTAGGTAATGGGAGGAGTGTTACTTTAACTTTTTGGGAGTAAAAATATTAGTAAATAAGTTTGCATGACAATGTATATATTGTGATGTTTGATGTGACATGGCTATGATGTATATGTGGTTGATAACACCTCACTTAGTTTATAGTTGTCAACATGAGTGGCAGCACCAATGCAAATATATATACTCTGTGTAGTCAACTAGCATCTCAAGCGTATTGGACCAGTTGAGATAATCCTAAACGAGGAGCTACATCACCTGGTAGAGTCCAATGACTAAGCGAAAGAATGAGGTTTACGGTTATTTTTTGAGTCTATTCTTGTACTTGAGTTTTTAAACGCTTGTGGGAGAAATTGATTAGGCCAAATCATGGATTTGAGCTCGGATGCTCAAGTTTTAGAGAAAACTGCATACCATCTCGAATATTCATTTTTTTGGAGCATTTGTTCTCATTCGGTGGTATTTGCATTTAAGCTAGGATTCAGCTCATAATATTTACAACCCTACACAAAACAATCCTCATCCTTGGGCATCATAACATGTCCCATATTGAGTTGTATTCTGCCACGGTTACATCCAGTACAGCTATAAAGAAGGTTTGTCATGAAGTGTGAGACGATTTAGTTCTTTCAAAGAGCTCATTGGCGCTACTGCACAACGTGATACATAATCACAACCGGTAACGCCTTCTACTCTAGATATTTTAATCTCGAGAGTAAGGGACCAAACATTGCTCCAAAGCTTCCCAGGGTAAAAGAATGCAAGACACGTAGTTAGTATGATGTTCTGCATTTGGGAGGGAGAGTTGGGTAGGCTGAATAGTCCTAATATTGACATTCCACTTGATCATCCATGCTTATACTTCCAAACAACCACGTGAAAAGGGAATTGATCTAGTTGATTGAGTTGCAGTCAAAACTGCCTTGGTGCTAGACTGGAGAACATGTGCCAACAAGAGTCATGCAAGCCAAGCAGGACATAGAAAGATGTGAAACTACTACATGATCGTCGTGTAGTGTTTTCATCATGGATCAACCACCAACTCTGACAGTTATGGCAAGCATACACTAGAGAAGAATATATTTAACATGCAAAGGTAATCATTCCATTGGATCTCAAAGCTCGCATCAGTCGGTTATTATTACGTTGCTCATGGGTGAAGAATAACTTTGTAGGGCACTGATTTGTACAAAGGGATTTTCTTGACCAGTGTTACTCTTGCTCTTTGCAGTTCAGAATGCTGTTGCAGAGTTTTGGCTGCCACCCAAAAGCGAGCAGAAGCAGAGGTCTCGATCGAGTGCTGCGAGCTGGATGACGTGATGAGAAGCATGAGCAGTCAGTGCCTCGATGGCATGCATCTATTATTCTTATATCTCGTTCTTTTTCTTGGAACTCGATGACGCTGTTGAGGATTAAGAGAAACAATGCTTTAGATTCGATTCGCTTTCGTTGGAGGCAGGTATTTGGGATGCTGGAGCCTGTAGGAAATCACTTCACTGCATGGCTCTTAGGGCCACACTAAAGTCGAGCTCTAGCTGGAGCTGGCGAGTATCGAGAGTTTGTCGATTTCCGACCTGCTGCGGACACGGGAGAGTAACTTTTTCGATACCCCAATATTCGATGGGGTCACGATGCGGATTTCCAGGTACCTTGTGCTCAACAGCGTTGGAGAGAGACGGGCCCGGCCCTACTTCAGATCTCAGTGGGCAATCCATTCTTCGAGCAGGTGGTTGGTATCGACCGACGTGAACGCCTCGTCACATCATTTTCAACAGTGGAAGTATGTCTTGGCAAATCCCGAGTTCATTGTTCTCATTGCATGCTCCGAGTTCCAATCGACTGTTCTATCCTTCTACGGGTGTCCGGCCACATTAAATCCTCGTCCTCGTCCTCGATGTCAGATGAATGCTCAAAGCTCAGAATTCATGACCAGCATGACTAGACGCTAGGGTTCGATGTTGAACTGCGACACAGTTCCAGCCGCCATTACTCATGTGAGACACAGATCAACCTGCGGATCAATCTTTTGTGAGGCCAGAAGTGAGTCAGCGCCTGATCCCATCTCCCTTCGAGTGCTGTTCCCATCGGTGGGAGGTGATACCTCCTTCTTACCGGTAGACAATCAACATCACCTGTATATATATTATAAAGAAAGTATGAAGGATCTGTAGCCATTGGCCGGAGAGCTGTCAGATGTGCGAGGGTCGTACTCAGTCATGATTCTCTCCAGCTGTGCCCGGAATTAAGTCATAAGCGTGCTTTTATCCACTTGCACCATTGAGTATAACTCGGACAAGCTTGACAGCTGCACCGGGCGATATTCTAAAAGTGCCTACCTGAGTCTTATTGGACGAGTCCGCTTCTCTCAGGCACGACAGCTGAGACACAAGACACCCTCGGCGTGTAGATTTGCGCCTTTCAGTGATTGAAGTGAGTTTCATGGGTCAACCAAGTGAAGGAATGGAGGGTTGAGAAGTCGGATGGGGCTTCTGATGGGGTTCTGGTCATTGGAGGAGGCATACAGCGTATGACGAGAAACTGCTTCTTCAAGTCAAATCGGGGGCTGATAGGGTGTAATGTAATAAAAGTAGTCAAATAATCGGCAAAAGAGTTATGGGCAGATGCATGGAAAGGCTTTCATGGTTTCAGTAGATAAGATGAAGGCCTGCTCACCGGTAGGATAGCAAGTAGTGCAAATTCACAATTAAGACTAAAAAAGCCATTTTCACAAGAGGATCAAGGGCGAACAGTGGTATATACTAATCCACTAAGTCTAGTATGATAAAACTAACTAAGTCTACAAGAATCCCGTCACACACGACTGGTGGCGAAACCCGGGGACCTTCTCGGAAATTCCGGAGCCCGTCGAGCGCATTTCTTCGACACGATGACCAAAAAGAACACACCTTGTTACCAGTGTTAAGAATTCACTCTTAGTGTTTTACTCTGTACGCATTGAGTGCATTCTCAAGCGCCATTGTCATCTGGCCTAATCTAATCATCGTGGCTGCGATCATAACATTGCTACTCAATGATATTCCTACCAACCGCCACTCATGTTGGAGGCCGCTCGATCGTTAGCTGCTGTACATCATTTGGTGCTAACGGCAATTTGCACTGTTGACGATAGCACACTGGCAGTTCGCGTATATTGCGAGACTCCAAGCCGAGTTTCATCTCTTCCTACCATTCCTACATTTGTCAGCCACTACGTATTCACCACTTTCCCTGTTCAGCATGAGCATGTTCCAAAGTTCCCCGCCTCTTCTCTCTGTCAATTCTCGAGGCACCCTAAGTCGAACCCAGGTCACTCGCAGGTTCCCTCACCTCCCACTCTTCGCGACTCAGTGGTCACGTCACCCCCTGTTTTGCAAAACGAAATGAAATGTGTACAATGATTAACTCTGTTGGATGTTTTTTCCCTCCTCCCGAAATACCTCCTAGGCTTGGTAATTGGATCGAACGTACCATGCCCTGCTCGACTTTCTGTTGCGTACACTGCTTCCAAACCCATCCCGTGGTAGAGTCCTCTACCAATGGAACGCCGATATGCTCATGAGGTTCCAGGTTTGGTTCCACAACCTCTCGACCTTTTCGAGACAGATCCAACGTGCTCGCTGATATTTAGGCAGTGTGAACCTCTTCCGGGAAGGAACACCCCGATGCAGTGGCAGATAATCCTGCATATCATTAGTTTCTGGCCCATGTCCACGTGGTAGCTCTGGGGACTGTGTCACGGGCAAAGTCCCGAGGCCCGAAACATGGGCACTTCACCTCCAATGAAGACATCTTCCTACCAAACATCACCGAAGGAGCCCATGCCTATATAGATATCACTCACTCAACTGTGACTGGACGAGCTCGGTGAACCCCGGAGAGCAGATGCTCGAACTTCCTTTCCACCTCGTTGGGGCACCGCATCGGGATGCCGTCAGAGCACAGCATGCTAGCGAGTTCATCACTCAGCTCACGTCACAGATAACACAGGTTTGCAAGTCCTGGAGTTGTAGTAAGTATTCTAATACTCATTCTTTGATCACAAGACAAGAGGGGGAATGAAGTCCCGGTGCAGCACCATTCAGCATCTGTCGACTGGACTTCGGTGCGCCGACAGTATCATGCGAAGCAACTCTGACGAGCCTGGACAGTTCAGTTGGTGCAGCAACCACTTGTTGAGTCTCTCTTGAAAACCGAGTGACCATTGGACCAAGTACTTCATCTCATCCTGTTAAATTCTCCCCAACCAATATCTTGAACCATCCAAAAGCTGCAGTACTCTCTTTTCCCAGGCGGGGCGGGGGAGGGAGTTGAGTGGTTCAACTCTGATCTACAAAAAAGTGCCCCTTCTGGATTGAGCAGGGAAAAAAGACCGCGGGGACACATAAAATCAGGATTTTGGATGCGGTAGCTTCCGAGTGCTTGAAAACAGTAGACCACCAGTAGGCGACACAAAAAGCCAGTTGAACAAACTTCATAATATCCTTCCAGTACTGTAATGTAATGGGATTCAGGCGACAGGTCCACGTGTACATAGGAATGAACCACTGTCTAACTTCCAAACTAACATTAACATTTGTTATGTACACAAGCAACCTCTGATGAAAGGAGCCGTGCCTTCCATTCACTGCAAAACTTTAGACTAGGGACAGCCCAAACCCAGGCCCTTTCCCTTTTCATTTTAAAAAAAAAAGGCAGATTTTATATCTCCACCACCTCTACTCATCAGAATTTACATAATACTATCCTACAAGATGAATAAAGTAACAATAGAATAGAGAGGCGAATCTTAAAGGTAACTACTATCTTTGACAATACCTTTTCGACAGACATAGCAAGCGATTAATTCCCTCAGTCCACAGCTGATGCTCATGCACAGTTTTACATTCAAACTCCACGTCTCCTCTCGTAGTTTTTAGGGCGAAATATCTTCGCTGATCGCCATTATCCAGAAGCTGTCTTCCTGGCCAAGCTGGAATATCTGGATAAACATGTAGCACAAGACCTGCAGTATCAAACATGTACTGAGAGTTAGCTAGAAGCTTACCCCTACGTTGCTATGCCTTCGTTTCATGTGAGTATTACACTAATGCTTCCCTTCATATTCGCGAACGCTCTACGAGTCGACGCAATAGAAGACTTCACATAGAATCGAATCAGTCAATAAATAGCTGATTACAGCACTCACTTTTTTTGTTCTTCTTCAGAGCTCCGCCGATGATTTTACTTTGCAACTTCAAGACGACCTGTTGAAAAAAATTTCGACCTTTCAGATATTACGTCTTCGAAAAAACTCGTCTCAAGTTACAACTAGACCTGTCCTAGCAGACCATTGGATTGTGCTCCCGAAATGTCACGGGTTTGAGGGCACGAAGGCAAATAAGCCGAGAATTTTTCCAAGAGAGACACTTATGACAACCGGGTTGAGCTACAATCGTCCTCATGCCCATCATATGAGAACCCAAATCAAAAAATTTGAAATTTGTATAATAATTATGAATTATTATACTGCCATGGCATGTGGTAGCGAAAATTGGAACAGCTTCAAGAAGCATAACGCCTGAACTTCCAATTGTATGACATCAAATTCACAACCTTGTACATGTTTTTATTCAACTAACATAATCTACTGGATAATACAACTTATTGACAAGATGGCTGACGCGGGATTTTCGGGATTGCGACACATAAACGAGGAAATTTTACGCCACGCAAAATTGAGCTATTACTTTCCTACTCGTGGATATCAATCAAAGAACTTGGAAAGGTACCTGGCCCTGCTTGTTAAGATATACAAAGACGTGCCTCCATTGCACTTCACCTGCAGTCAAAAAAAACTTAGTCAGCGTCGTATGCACCTACATATCATTCTAAGACGTACGGCTTTACTTAATGCCATCCACTAGATGCCAAGGAAAGCAGCTTCACGAAAGCAGCTTACCGTTCCTTGAACGCTTCAGAAACTCTGCACCTCTAGACAGAATCTCGTGCGTGCTGTACTCAATCTCACTGTCCTCGTCAATGTAATCGCTACCATAACCAATAGATGATTGACACGCGACGCTGCGCTCGTATGGCATTACGGTGGCCACACTCCGAGCATCCTTCAACGTTCTTTGCCTTAAAGTAGCCGCTCCTCTCAAAGCTAGAGTACAACAAACGCACATTCAGACTGGTCAGCGGAAAAGGCAAGTCTTTTCATCAGCAATCCTCGCAGGGTCCGATCAATGTCAACAGCGGAAATGATAAAAAGGTAAACACAAAATCAGAGAAACTTAAAGGAGATCTCGAGACTCTCGGCTCCCGGCAAGATGACGATGTAGACAGGGCGAAGCATGAACTGAAGTTATTCTCACGCAAATTATTTCGAAAACTCAAGAGGAGATGTGAATTGTCTAGATTCCACGGACGGCATGAGTTTGGTACCTGTCGCAGCAGATGCAGTCAGGGTAAGAATGTCCCCTGCGCTTTTCACACTAACGGCAGAACTAACTACAGCTGCCATTTGCTCGCGATCAGCACCCAAGCTTTCAGCCACCTCGACGCACTGAGCAGCAACCAATGCTGCCGCTGACGCCATCGCCATGGCTGTCCGAGTGCTCTGCTCGTCGGTTGAGGAAGCCGCCGTGGCAGCAGCCACAGCAGCAATGGCGGCGGCGACCCCAGCCACTGTAACAGCGGCGTGCACTTGGGCTTTGCGCGTACGATTCAGCTCCTTCTTTTTCTCCTTCATATCCTTGATCCATCTCCCCATAGACTTCCCCCTTGGAACAAGACTGAAACTTTGACGACGATATTGCTGAAATTGGGAACCAGGAAAGATGCCAGAAAGGAAAATCAGATTCAAAATCGATTTCTGGAATCGGAAGGAGGATTCTCGATCTATGTGAGCGCCAATATTATATCCACAAAGTGAGGACTTCTCTCCAACAATCCAACTTGAGAGGTCGACCAAGTACCCGGGCGAGGACGTACTCGGTTTGGAAATCACGTTATGGAAATGAAGAGATCAACTTACATAACTTACATCGGATCCCCGTGGAGAGATTGGCGGGCTGACAAAACTCAAAGGACCGCTGCTGTGAGAGTTTCTTCTGGAGGCAAACGGCGACAGCTCTTGCTGCAAGATTGCAAAGACAGAGCGATTCAGGCTACACGGAAGCGATGTCAGTCCGCTCTCCACATGGGATCATGAGAAGGCTCATCTTACATCTGCAATCTGGACATGAGTAGCCGTAAGAACAGGAACGTACGAAAAGCCGCTCTGGAGGCATGCACGAATACTCACAGTTCCAGGGGTCAAGATGCGATCCATAACTAGCTGCGACGTCACCGACGACGCAAACGAGAAAGGGGCTGTCTCAAGTTGCGAATCGGGATGTGTTAAATCGGCGATTCCATACACCTTCCTGCTTTCGTGTGTTACAACTGGAGCTAGAGCTCGGTGTACATCTACGGCCGAGATACTCCACGACCGAGACAGAAACTCCATTGGCTCTTGAGGAGTCTCCGGTGGGGCAGCGTACGCAGTGAGGGCAGAATTCAACATCGGATGATTCTCTTCGATATTCCGCAAGCCTGACTGTGAAAAACTGTCTCTTGAACAATCAATGAGATACGGATCCTCCCCCCGTGGGTGCGAAAGATGGCCGTGATTCATGGTAGTCATGCTACCGGCTTCTGCGCACTACCCGGCTGAAGCCTAATACACTATCAACTAGAAAGCTACTGTAAATTGCTATAATATTCTCTCCTCGGGGACTACTACTTGGCTGAGCATCTGTGCCGCCGTCATGCTGAATTCCATAACAAAAAACCCTCCAACCTTCATCGAACGCAGGTCAGCCTCTGAGCTTATGCTTCTTTTCCGAGTCAACATACTCTCGAGAGTATACCACAGGTTCACGACCTGAATTTTGAGCGCAACAGTCAAACACACTCCGTGAGTAGATACAACAAGAACCTAGCGTCGGCCAATCTCGTGGGATACGCACGCACAGCGCAAGAGCGCTGCAGTGGAAAACCAACCAACTCTAGGAGGCAAGCCGAACAGCGCTGAGCTAGCTGCCCGTAGAACGAAGCTCAAATTCTTGACGTCGTCACAAAGGTCATCCTTTGAACAGCGGAATGAAGAAGACAACGCATGCCAGCGAGCGCAGAAGAAAAATCGGATGCGGTAAATGGAAGACAGAGTGCACATCAATAGGGAACTTGCGTAAGAGCGAAACCGCGATATGACTTCCTTGCTTTGCACTTCAATTGGAAGACGTACAAGGAGCGTTTTGAAAAGACGGACATACCTGCAGTAGGAGGTAACGAATGATTCTGTGACCACGACCTTTGCATCAGAAGAGCGGGTTTCTTCAAGACCCGGATTCGTCCAAATCACCTGCGCTGAAGCTCTCCAGAGCAAGTTCTACATACTATCACAACCCTAAGGCACTCCTACAACATGGCGTCCGCAAGAGAACTTTGAACGCTCAGTTCTCTTCCAATTCTGTAAGGGATGGTCTCTGCTTCCCGAATATTTAGCGTGGCGTGCCTCCTCCCCTCAGCCAGCGTGCTGTGCCTGATCGTGCATCCTGAGCTGCTTGTGACAAAGTCGTCCACGCTGAACAAGTAGAGCAGAAGCAGAGCGACAACAGCTGGATTAGTATCCCACGTTGCGTTCAACTTCTCGACATAGCTGCTGACTGACAATGTCATACGGGAAAAACCCGAGGAGTGACGAATCCTTTTAACCAGTCGACGCAAGTCCACACGACAGAGATTGGAGTCATGATCTACAAGCAACTTTCGAAGTTTACTGAAACCAGGGAGCTGGTGACCGGGGCAGGAGCGACAAGGGGAGTGGCGAGGTGAGATGCAGGCAGTTCAAGAGGTGAACTCCAAGACAGAAAATTGATCGCTCTCAAATGCTCAGTCGGCCGAATGCATCTTGACCGTGACAGATCTCAAAGAACAAGATATGAAGAAAAAATTCGAATGCACGGGGTGCAAGAAGAAGAAAACCAAGCGAGAGAACGCGTGGGCCGGAGAGCGAATCGAATGGTACGGTCAACAAGGAAGAAAGCCATGAGCCTACCAGTTGAGCACAGGACCCGACCGGCGAAGTAGACAATGACTAGACAATGCTCCAAAGGAAGTTGGCTGCGCAAGATCAGCACAACTGAGAGGACGAAAGAACCAGTTTGCGTCTGCTCACGTCAGGAGACACCGACTCACGCGTCTAGAAACCAGACGATCTCGCAATCAGAAGCGGAATGCCTTCCTGCCTCGCCTGCCTGAATGTCGAGTGAGTAATTGAATAGAGGATGATGAATCCAAACACCAGGACAAAGTCACTCGCTCAGCCCATCTAACGCTGCTCGAAAGAACGCAATGCCACCACCCTTCCTTCCTTCCTTCCTTCCTTCCTCCCTCCCTCCCTCCCTCCCTCGGTAAAGCACCAACGCACCACACTCCAGTCCACTAAACTCCTCCGAAGCACCCACCCTTCGTCCCGTCCCTCGCTCCCCCTCCCTGCCTCCCTCTCTCCCTCCCTCCCTCCCGCCCCGATTCTTCCGCACACAACCGGCCAACCAACCCCTCCCCTCGCAATGTGCAACCCAACTATACCGCGCGGTCTCTCGACACCCCTCTCCCCTTCGTCTCCCTTACTGTACTGTACTCTCCCTTCCTCCCCCTTCCTCCTCACTGTCAAGCCTCCTCCTCGCGAACAACAACTTGTGCGCTCACTCTTCACTCACTTGGACTGGCGCACCAGCAAATGCCAGTTAATCAGCCCCCTTTCTTCCACCCTTCCCGTCCACCTGTCCCTCCCGCTCTCTCGGCGCCTACCTCCCCTCCCCTCCAGTCCAGTCCACAGTCCACTGCGCTGCGCTGCGCTGCCCTGCCACACACCAACTACGGACGAGGACACCGGAGACCTTCCCACTCGTCGTCCGTCGCCATAGCCTTGTCACCCGGATGACGAGCGGGCGGACCCCGTCGAACCCTAACCCGCGAGGATGGTGATGGAGGTGGAGATGGTGGTGATGATGGCGGGACGGGGCCCCTAAACTAACCATGACCACGACGTCCGCCGCGGCGCACTTGGTCCGCTAGCCATGTAGCCATGACTAGCAGCCGGCAAGGGAGAGCGGGCAGCGCCGCTCTTCGCCCGCTGGTGAACCGGGTACATTCGCCCCGAAGATTCCATACAGCTCGCCGGTCTGTCTGTCATGCCTAGCATAGTCCTCTACTAAAGTTACCTAAAGTTAAAATGCTGTGTGCGTCATACGTGTAAAGTAAAAGCTCCGGCGGAGCCTTTAGCCATACCGGCAGTCAGTGGCGCATGCCGCAAGTAACTAGTGCGTAACTCTATCCTTTGACCGGTAACCACGTCGGACATTCTCATGGAACTTACTCACTCAATGTACCTTAGGACAAACGCAAATTACATTCTTCCCCATTCGCCGAATTAGCAGCACTGTCATCTTCGAGTTACTGATCCGTCGATCCCGGGGACGGTAATCGGGTCATGATCAGGACAGGAAAATAACGTTTTTACTCACGTCTTAAATTCCTGATTTGAGTCAAATCTCCTGATTACGATATTCTGGTTATGACTTATTATTATACGCTATCGAAGCACGTGTTTAGACTAATCATCACGAGCTAATCTACCGTAGCGAACTATGCATCTATGAGGTCGACCAGGGCCAAGTCGTTGTACTTTGTAACATCACATTTTATTGCTCTCCTCCAAGGTCCACATCGTGGAGGAGAAATCTTTGTTTACAGTACAGAAATTAGCTTCAGCTATTTAACGCAACAAGCCTTCCATTCATCTACTACAATCTTAGCTCAGCTACATATTCAAGCCACAAGCATTATTCCTTACCTCAATGCCTTCGCCTCCAAGTCGTGGAGTTTAAAAAAATATAAGTATATGCTTGTAGTGTAAGTCGTACTCGCTTGCAAGCAAGTGATTATAAACACTCCGACATAAACAACCCGGGTGGGTACGTCTCAGTTTGTACATGTATTACGTCACAAACGTTTTGGCTTAACCATGGACAAAAGAGTGACAACCATCATGGGAAAATGAGAGACACACAATGCAAATTTTCCACTCACATGGCCTTTGTGGTAGGCAAACTACGCAAGCCACATGATATTCTACTTCGTAGTCAAGTCTTATACTTGGTCATGTTGGTGGGAGTCATATGGACAAATGCTGATTGCGTTGGGGTTTGTTGGTACTAGGTCCAGGAAGGAGGGCTGCAGTATAGAAAACAGCAGAAACAGCTTATAAACAAAGTCAGAGCTTGATCTTTGTCTTGTGCCGGTACAAACAATAATATTGTTTGTACTATCACCTGCTGGCTGCTTGACTACCAAGTCAAGGAGTTTACGACTGCATAGTCGTCTATGCCACGAGTCTGAGAACTTCGATGTCCTTTGTATCGTACAGCAGGCTTACAGAGAAGAAAATGAAAAAAAAATAAACGAACCCTTCCACATGTTCCCTTACAACAACGTCAAAAGTCTCTCGAACAATGATACTGACTTTGGATTTTGGATTGCGGACGAGAATAACAGCAAAAGGCAAGGAGAGGCATCAGAATCGTCAAAAGCTGTCATTTGCGATGAGCACGACAGCAACGGTCACCGATAATCTCATACCAGCCGGCCTAGAGGACAATATTGCAAAATACCAACACCCGTGTGTAACAGAGGCAATGGCCTGACTTCATATGTGTTTTTTAATATATGCTCGCTCCCTGTCCTTGGTCGATTATCGTATGCGACTGCTGATCATTAGCCATCCCAAGTGGCGGTAGAGTTGTGGGAGACTACTCCTCCTTTCCAACGTCCTTGTACATTTCACAAACTGTCCTTTGCATATGAGCCACATCCACAAGGCGATATCTATTCCTGGCTTGGTTTGAAGTTCCTCGTCTCTATATATCCTCGATGCAATTAGAAAAACTACCTAATCGAGATTATCAAGCCTAAATACAAACCTCGAATTAGGAACACGCTTAATTTGATCTCAACATCTAAAATCAGATGTTCATATCTTTGAAAACTCTAATCATGCAGTCGTGCTAGGAAATGCAGTTCAAAATTTGCTCGGATTTCTTCTTATTCTGGACTTTTCGCGCAACTTTTCCAATGGTGACGGGCCTAAATTCTAGACAGCGGTCTGAAGTGGTGCCACAGATATTTAGCGAAATTCATCCTCCGAAGCACCATATTAGCAAGGTTATTGGTGAACGGAAAATTCCCTGTATGTGATTCGAATGCTAGAAGGAAACTTAATCCTAGTAAGGGACAATTTTCTCCCCGTGGCAGGGGTATGGGTCAGTACCATACGCACAAAGCTACTCGCGCAGAAGCCATCACGGTTGTCAATTTCTTAATTAAGCCAAATACGAACACCAAATCGGGGATCATCGCGCTTCTTTGTCAGGATTCTGTCACAGCAGGCTCCCGTCGACAGCACCGCCGGCAGGGTTGTGAAGACCGCGGGACAGGCCAATTTCGTGACGTGAACAGGCCATCGCTTCTCCGAGACCGCCGCCGACGGCAGGCGTGCCCGGCACTTTCTCGGCCACTGCCACGCCATCCCACTTCCGAGGACGCCGTCCGGATCTGGGGCCGGACGTTATGCACTCCCCGTACGGGGAGAAATGAACAACAGTCGACGATCCCGGAAGTCGCCGTCGATGCTCTCGGAGCGACGGAGACCGCGAACTGCCGCCGTGCACCTGTCCGCGACGGGACTCGAGTACCAGGTTGAGGTGCCAACGTGGAACCGGTCAGCGGACCGAAGTTCATATCTCCTAAGGAGATATGAAGGAGATTCTCCTTACGGTTTCCTCCAAAATAAAGTTGTCAACGTTGGCTCTACCGATATTGGTACGATATTATCCAACGAGAACTCTACCGGTGCATGTTGTCACCGGTATCGGGGGTCCGACCGGGTCGGAGGGTCTGTCGAGTCCCGGGAGGGTTTTATTGGAGGGGTTAGGGTAACCAACCAGCCCATCATCGATCGAGAGATTTAGTCAAGGAAAGACAATACGGGCAACGACCTTCGTCCAGATGTGGGGCAACCCAGCGGCGGCAAATCACGGCCACCGTAAAGGCCCGCACGTCACGGCTGGAGACCAATAGCTAACGGCAGAACAGGTCAGAGATTCCGGATTGACACCGCAGTGACCACAAACGAACTCAAGTACGGCCCCGGCCACGTCAAGGTGTGCGAATGTCTTTTCACTGTCTTCGAGTTGACGTGTGCGATCGCGAGTTGCGTGGGTGACACAGCGGATAACGATCCCAGATAGGGCTCAGGGGAGGAAGTCGACGTCGCTGTTCGAGGCATCGACCGCAGGGCAGCGTCAAACTGCGCGAGGGATGCCGAACGAAGGCACGACAGTTACGAATCGCGGAGAGGATAAAGGGCCGGACGTCGCCGTCGTCGCCGTTTCGGACCCGAGCTGACGTCAGACGCTCCTCGGAGCAGGACGGCGGGCATTTCACCGAAGTCGATAACTACCGTAACGAAGCGCGGTGCGGGTGGGGTCAGCGAGTTACTCTGGTTAACAAAGTTTCTAACGTAACGAATAAAGAGAACGTCGGCGTCGCAAATTCGAAAGGTGGGGTCGACCGATGTGTTCCTGTACTTCGTCTGTTAAACGTCTGCTAACCCCCATAGGCCTGGTGCTATGGTAATCAGTTTATGAGGATATTTGTTTATTTTATCTTCTGGCAGAATCTGGCTGTAAGCTAATGGACAGTACACTGTAAAGAGTCGATTCACGTTTGACCGGTTTGAACTCTCGGTGGGTTTACGAGGAACTACCAGGGTCTCCATGGGCTCAGGGGCTCAGGGGCTCATGCGACGACAAATCATTCGAAGCTTTAGGTATTGTAAGGAGACCAGGAACGTACCTGGGCTATCTGGCCTACGCTCTTCAACGGCACTAGATCTCCACGCAGTACACATGTTAATCCCAAACCTGAGTTCAACAGCAAGCAGATTTGGCATTTGCAAGCCATGTGAAAGTGCGAATATTTTAAAAGCGGTGGATAAAGCACATTCGTAATATGTAATATCTCGTCATATGCCAAAGATCACTAGGGCTATGAAATATCCATGTATTATCGTTGGTAACTTTAACAGATTAACGTATACCTCGTGGAATTTCAACCCGCAGTGGTACACAATAGTGGATTCTTTACCATCTTAGAGTTTCAGTTTAAACGGAGATACGCTCATTGTGTACAAGATCACAGCTGTTCTTGAATCTGCTGTATCGTTTCTTTTGTAATTACTGATGA